AAAGATTATTGTAATATCATTGGTCACAGACCGACAAGTCGGTCTGTGACTAATTTGGTCACAGACCGACTAAAATTAATGTAATAAAAATATGAATAAATAAGTCCAAAAATTTAAATAATCTTGTCAGTGAATGTTAGCCTAATAGCTTCAATAGTTTTATGAATTTCACAATGGTTGAAAGCTGCATGACTTAATAAACCTAAAAAATGTTGTTTTTTTGGGTCACAGACCGACAAAAATATTAAGAAATATTTTTGCCCCGCCTTAATATTTTGTTGTAAATGAATATTACTTTTTGTCACAAAAACTAATAAAATATGTTAAGTTCTCCAATTTAAAATAAAAATGACTGGCATAAATGGCAGTTTGTTAGTTTCTAGAGGCTTTGAAAAAACATGACATTTTCATATTTTTTATATTTTCAAAATTATGTAATTTCAAATTCCTATATATTTTTATACATCCACACAAGAAAAGTTACATCAATGAATCCTAAAAATTCATTTTTTAAGCTTTAGTTTGATATAAAACTTGTTTACATTCCTCAAAGTTGAAAATTTGCTAAATCTGAAAAAAAGTCATGGAATTGCCCTATTACAGAAACAAAGATATTGTTAACACTTGGAATATGGTCAGTTAAACATCATAATATCAAGTCTGCATTCTTGCAATAAATCTCTAGTATTACACTAGCATCAACCAAATCATTTTAAAAATTCTCTTGTTGGATCTTAGGATCATGTGATATTTTGACAATAAAACTTAAGAGCTGTTTACAGTGGATAAGTTAGTGGAATGCTGTAAATTGAGTATACAAAGCAACTGGTAGCGATACAGAAGTAATAAGCGTCCCTTTAGCTTGAATACATGAACAAACTCCCAACTACATTTAACGTCTTGCTAGTTGAGTTCCATTCATAAGAAGAAACTTCGCCCACAACCCGAGGACAAAATACCCAGTCAGCCGTAGTTTTCGACGATTGTGAATGCATAGGAAACCCTCTGAATGCATCAATGACTTGCAAGAAAACCGTAAGTAACCCTGAGTGGGTAAACAACAGAGTAAACTTACCAAAACTATAGAGAATCCTTGTGGGTGTGTCCGTTAAAAGTTAAACACCGTGCATTAAGTGCATTTCAATTTAAATGGGCCAGATAGGAATCGCCCAATTCTTAAATGTCACAGGGTCAAATGAAATACAGTAATCGTGGAAGTACCTTCGTAAACTTCCATCATAAACTATTATTTCAAACCATGTAGTTGATTATCAAAGTTTAAAGAACATATTTTCAATGAAATTCCACAATAGCACAATATTTTGAAAAGATTTCACAATTAACAATTTCTTTCCCCGATTTTTAAAAGTGAAACAATTTCCATCGCACTCAAAGTTCCATACAATGTAAGCACGTGTTTATTGCATTATTAGGCAATGGTTTTACATATTGTCTAATAATGGTAAATAAATATTGTCATTATTTGTTAACATCTTTATAGGTAAATTCTCATCTTTACTTTTTATTCCAATTGGGGGATGATTTGATGAATATTCTGGCAACGGTTCTAATATATTGCAATAACCTGTGAAAGTCTATTAGTAGTTTATTGAATTATTGACAAAATTTCTGTACTATTAAATATACTTATGCTTCTTAAGCATTTGAAGTGCAACAGACCTAATATAGTAAAACAATTATCAGTAATTCCATAAAAAAACATTAAAATTTAATTTCAATGTTTTTTTATGGAATAGTTTAACGTGGTAAGTAGTGACATAAATACAAATATATTAGGATATGAGACTTGCAATATACAAATAAAAACATTGTTCAATCATAATACAAAAAAATATCAGATATTAATATTTCAATATATTTTTCATAAATTTTTTACAGAATGGTTGTTGACACTCACCCCTTGTAATTATGCAGCTATACTATGGGTCTATAAAATTGCAAAACATTGTCAACAAAAAGATTGTTTAGGTGTGGGCCTGTGATAGCCTATGTAAGCATAGACCAGTATCTGGGGCAGCTGCTTAATATCGGTTTGACTTGTGTAGCGAAGCAACATGTTTGCTTTTGATGATACGCCTACCTATCAATTATCATACAGAGAAGTGACAATATTTTACCAACATCTAACTTTAAATCCTAACAATTTAGGATCCCAGTCTATTTCTAACATACATAAAGTCTAAAAATCATTTAAATTAAAGGCGATACATTGGCCAATATCCACAAATAAATACCAACAACATTTTGTAGCGTGAGACAGTTTATCTGTAGTTTCCATATGTTTCCACCCCCTCGTCGACTTATACAATATTAAAATCAGGTTCAAGATACGGTACTTACCACATTGTGAAAAACATCAGAATCGAACAAATAATTGAAATCTGAGTCAATCATATCCATGGGCTTGCTATCGCTGAGCAGGGCCTCCATTTTAGTTTGGGGGTCTGCACAGGGTCTTGGTCAGGTCCAAATCGGTCGGATTCTGGGTGGTGAATCGTTCGTCCACACACTGCCTTCAGTTCGGTCTTCTACTGTCACTTATCTGTAAGCGAATGATCGGTCGAAGTTGGAGGTCAAACGGGGAATCCTAGGGTAAATCCTAGCTGACGCGTTACGAAGCCAATTTAAATCAGTTACGAACAAGTAGTCCAGAAATTTTCAAGATTTATTTTCCAATATGAAAATAAACTGCATGAAATAGGTATATAAATAATTAAATACTCAATCAGAAAATATTGGAACGAAATGAAACATAAATTTGGAGTTTGAAGAAAATATACGACGGCGTAAGACTAACAATGTGACTGTTTACATCCACCGGTAAGTGCCACGTCGCAGTGACTTAGCCAATCAGATTCGAGTTCACATCAACTTGCTATGGTGAGTAGTTTCTCAGCTGTGATCAGGTTGGTGAGTAACTGGCATATGAAAATCTCAGGGAAGCCGTATTTAGTTTATAGCTGAAGAAACAAAACAAACGAGTATGACTTAATGCCTCCACGTTAAGCAGAATGACATCTATAAGTCGGGTATTGCATCACTATTGTTAATCTTCCCAAGTCTTTTATAACATAACAAGCTGTTGCTTGCATCTGATATAATGCGACAAAACAGTGAAGTAAATTTAAATATTTCAATGAGAATTCATTTAACAACAGCTTTTAAAAACACGAACAGTTTGTTAGTGTAGTAATGTAAAGATCTACGTGAATTTTACTGTTTCATTGTGAATTTGTATCAGGAAATTACTTGAATGTTGTTACATAATAATATGATTACAATGGGATGATCGCAACCGATGATAAATTTTCCCCATCTAGGATGTATGGATGACGGAACCAAAGACAAAAGTGTCATTGCTGACATTTTGTTGTTTTAAATAGACCAGGGAACAGTGAAATTAATGTAATGTAATTCCACTGTTCCCTGAATAGACCCATTTCATTATTAAGTTCGCAGTTAATTGGAAATCATCGTCGTAGATTTTGTTGTTACATTAGTTAGTTTTATCCTGTAGTCCTGGGTGTAATGAGACAAGTAAAGGAAACATGAAATGTCTTCCTATATAGAATA